GCCCAAGCTCTTCCTATATCTGTCCCTTATGACCAGCTGAAGTTCTTTTAAATTGTGCTTGGTTCTGTTACAGCAACTGAAGGAGTCGGGTTAAAACTTAAACAGTTACAGGTTTATTAAAAAGACTTATAAAAGCATATGGTTACAATGGCTATCGCTCTCTTTCTTAACTGATAGCAAATACAGATCTTATGGTTACAATGGCTATTGCTCTATTTCTTAACTGCTAAAAATATAGATCTTAAAAATGGTTACAAAGAAAATAAAGATAGAAAATAGAAGTAACACTAAGTGACAGCTTAATCTTTAAAGAGCTCTAAGTCTATGTGTACACTTAAGACAAAGGACCACATCCAGGTACAAGTTTTACCCCCTTCTGTGCCTCTCGGTCCCAGCATGTCAGGCCAGGGCCAGTCCCTCAATTTCTAGGAAAGACGGATACGAGGTGGGCGTCCCCATGGAACCTCGGGAGGTCAAACACCTAACCTGACCAGCAGATAAATGGTAGATTGACTCTCAGAGTAAATGTGCTGCTGGACCCATCTATATACCTCTGGGGGCCCGTATCCTCTTTCTTATCTAAGATGCCAATTGTACTGGTCCGTTTTGTGGCACCAGTTCTTACAAGCAAGTTTCAACTTAATTTACACTTGCAAGAGAGATAACTAAATTGTGAATATTAGACATTTTTTTACTGGGCGAGAGATTTCTCTCCCCGCGGACGGCTGTGTGTTCGTATCAATATGGGTTTTAGTCAAGGGCAGTCCTCGGCAGCCCTTTGGTCAGCAATTGGCATATCTCTCTTTACACCCATTCACGGTCACAGCAGCCGGCCATATCCGGACTTCCTGCTCCAAGGCTTTTACTGCTCTGTGTGCCCTGAATGTTCCAGGCAAGCAAAGACTCCTCGGCAGCCCTTTGGTCAGCAATTGGCATATCTCTCTTTACACCCATTCACGGTCACAGCAGCCGGCCATATCCGGACTTCCTGCTCCAAGGCTTTTACTGCTCTGTGTGCCCTGAATGTTCCAGGCAAGCAAAGATGGATGTTACAGGGGGTTCCTGTCTGTAGGTCAGTCAGCTGTTCCTTTTTTTCCTCTTGGACTCTTTAGGGCTGGCTGGTTGTTTGCTTCACTATTTTCTACTAGTTACTGTTTTTAATTTCTTTTTCTATCTTTGGGTAAGGGGGAAAACAGATTAAGTCAACTATTTCCACACGGAGGAAACTTCTGTAGGGGAAAACAAGCCGTCTGTCTTTATTTCCATTTGGCAGTCAGATGCTGCTTGTATCTGACCAGGCTTTTACTTCATTTTTTATCATCTCTTGCCTGAAAATTGTCCTGTCTAGGTAATGTTGACATTGATATCTGTCATATAGAGATAACTGGCATCCTATACATTCCACGGATAGTAATACATAGAAAGCTGAAAAACATATCTGCCTTTTTGGTTAATATTTAACTGAAATAACACAACACTGCTGACAGTAAGAATTTTTTTATACCCCTGCCTGTTTAGATCTGTCTTTGTACTCCTCTGTGAATAGCAATTAAATACTAATTAGAGAGGAACATTTTCTCCTTTTGGTAGACTCTTGATATTTTTGTCTCACAATGTATACATAAATGTAAGATGTATAATGGAGAGGTGTAAAACTTGCATATACTGTAGTAGTATTCGCTTTATGAAAGAAAAGTGAAGGTTTCATAGGATGGTTCTCACTAATTAATCACGTTCATTTAAATACCCTGTTTTAAGCATAAATAAAAGATAAAGAATGTATGATATTTATGAGCAGGGTCACTGGAGTACAGAATATCTATCATTAGGTCTGTTACATTGTTTTCCAGCTAGCACTATTCTCAATTAGAAAAATTTATGAACTGGAATGATTATAAATATACCCATCCCTGGTCTTAAAAGCAATGCAGAAAGTGATCAGATTTCTGTGGTATAATTACTTGTCTTATATTTTTCTGTTGCTATATTTTTACTGTTGTACCTTTCAAAATCAAAGAGGGGACAGTACAATTTAATACACCTTTAATATGCTTCATTTTTTGCTTTAGCTCTGAACCCTTGAGCATTGCTTTAATTTACTAACCTCATTAAAACCAAGTTAATAATGTGAATGAATATTGCTCTTTCTCCTCTTAACTAGATTTGCAAGTTCATATCCTTACATCTGAGTTGAACTGAAGGTAGGAGAAAAACATTCTTTCATTCTGCTTGGAATCCCTGTTTTCAGAAGCGGCATGGAGACATTATTAAGCACAAAAAGGATCAACGTATATCTGCTTTTTTTTGGATTAAATTTGACAGCAGCTATTGAAATACCATTATCAGGTGAGCTGTAGCTATTCACTGAATACTCTGCTTTCTTCCTCCCCTGAAAAACACGTTGCTTCCTATCCCCATTTTAGGTGTTTGCTTTTAAATTTTATTCTGCCTTACCATGGCCTTCTGGGAATTTATGCATTGTAAAACTGTAAGTTATTTTCTTCAGACCCTTTTAGACGCTAGAGTAAACTGATCGAGATAGCGCATCACTGACCTTTGAGATCCTACCCTCTAGTCGGGTCAGAAATTTCAGTTCTCTCCTATACATAAATCTCTCTCTTTTTGGCTATGAGTCTTACTGCAGCTTGTCTGATATACCTATCCATTTATTTATTTGCCTTGCAACCTGCAACTTGATTTTCAAAAGAGAACATGTGTGGCTCTCTAGGAAGAGTTTTATCCCAGGAGAATATTTCCCATCACTTGAATGCTGCTTGCAGGAGCACCTACTTTACCCATGCCTGGCCATGGTACACATCAAACGGCATATTTTACAAGGCTAGTTCTTCAGTTCATGTGTAAAAAATGTAATGCACTTCATGAAAGGCCAATCCCACTGAGATCAGTGCCGCTGGCTGAAGGAGCAAAGGGAGGAAGGTTTATCCCCCAAACTACATTTTATGCAGGCAACTAAATAACTCTGATTGCATACTAGTTTTGTTTTGGAAAAAAATCTTATCCCGTAAACATTGTTAGATGAATTGTCTCAGAAACATGGATTATTTTTCTAGACATTCAGGGCCTGATCTTCAAATATATTTTGGGGTCTGGACCCCTAAGGACTGTTGAGTGTCTGTGTCTCAGACACTGCAACCATGAGGGGCTTATAAGAAGTTTAAAAAATTGTTAGGATTCCATTGCAGTTTTAAGGCACTGTGGCTCCAAGCAAGAACTGTGAGTGACCCTTTCTTTTGGAAGTGGCTAGTACTTGGATAGCCAGGAGAATTCCATGCCCTCAAGTATGTACCAGATGGGATTTTTAGCCAAGGGTGTGACAGGTTCCTTGGGCATTCACCTAAATGTAACCACAAACTCTGGGGAACCATCTATCCCTTAATTGTTTGAATTAAATGTTTATATGTTAATCAAATGGAATTATGTATGAATATTTATAAGCTAGTGGGAAAGGATGGACTCAGTAGAGATGCAATGCGTTTGATAACACATGGTACAGCAAGATGCTACGTTGTATTTGAGCTATGTATGAGCTTCGTGGCTAGTTTGACTTAAAAGGGAAACCAGAAAATATTCTGGCTGTGTGTAAAAAATGTGATGATCTGTTATCCCAGTTTACAGTGCAGAGTACAGTCTCTCTTATGTGTCTCTGTTACTCAGCACTTTAAATCCCGTAGAAAATGTAGTGAAACATCATTGGTTTGCTTTATGCATAGTAATGATGCATATTCCTTCCACAAATGAATGAAAATGGTATAATCTTTCTATAGTGGACCCAATGTTAAAGAGAGAATGATTTACCATGTAGTGTATATGTGTATAATATATGTATATGTGTGTGATATATATGATACTTGTATAGGTATGTATATATACAGAGAGAGAGAAAAAAAACACATCAGGCTAATAATTTAATCTCCTTAAAATTATTAAATTCAGTCCAACATGAAATAGATTAATGCTCTAGCAAGCAAGACATAGGTAATGACTGACTTTTATGGGAATATTTCTATTCTGAGTCACAGCTCATCATTTCATAATGATCAGCTATGACTAACAATAGAAATATATATATATATATATATATCTCAAATAAAAATAATATGGGAAGTATATAATTCTCCATCTTCCATTTTATTGAAGCTCATATGTATTTTGCACATATTGGCTTTTTCTGCAGATTTGCCTCCTTGACAGATTAGTAATTAAGGGGAAAGTATCTTCTAGTCACCTGGCTTTTAAAAACATTGCTCACAAACTCACAGATGACAAATTAGAGCTCAATACAGACAGTCCCCGACCTGCGACGTGATCGGTTCCTGGGGAAGTGTTGCAAGTCAGGGGTGTCGTAACTTGAACCTGCATTTACGATAGGTGTCATACACTGTCATAAATGCGGACCGATGACATAAATCAGGGGGTTTCCATCCCTTCCACACTTACAGAAATGGCCATAAGTGCGGAGGATCGCAACTCGGGCCATTGTGAGGCGGGGGTTTCCTGTACAGACATGAGCATTATAAAGTCAACCTCCCCTTTTTGCTACCTGTAGCATATGTTGGAAGAGACTGTGATCACTCTTGTGGCTTTATGAGCCAGAGCCATTCAGGGAAATGGAAGCAAAAACACCGGCTATATTGCAGCCTCTTGATGCATTATGATTTCAGACAGGAGAACAAGTTATGATGCCTTTGTGGGGTGAACGTAGGAATGGCGGAGCAGAATCTTTTCTGTTCATGCAGCTGCCATCACTGTTCTAAAGCAGTGTGAGCTAAAGCCCATTGATATCAATGAAAAAACATTGACTGACTCCAGTGGCCTTTGGATCACCCTCCAGGCAAGGATCAATGTATGAGGAGGGTAGGGCAAGAGCCATATTATTACTTCATTGGAATATACTTCCTATGTCTCCTGGAAGGCTTTAGTCAAGTGCCGCTAAACCTCTCTTTTGGTGCTCAGACTCCTGAAACATTCATTTCGCAATGTTGACAGTGTTTTCATCATCAGGAAAATATTTATAAAGACACTTCCAAAATGTTTGCAGGGATAATGTATTTGGGTCTGACAACCTTGACATCCTACTCATTATCCTTGTAAATAATCTGAACTCCACTTAGCTTTGTTTGACTAGCAGTTGATCTAATCAGATGTTCTCTGTTCAGTTGCACAGGTTCCAACAATTACAGAGCAGTCAAGGACCCTAGTTGCATACCCTTTTGATGAAGACTTTACAATGAAATGTGAAGCAAAAGGAAATCCACAACCCATGTAGGTATTTCTTTAAACTAGAGGAATAATCAAAAGTTTGTTTTCTTTTCTACCTCTGTTAGCCGTTGTCTAAACATGGTTCTTACTTTGCAGGGAAAGGAAAAAAATGATGCATTCCAATGTGCTCATAACCTGGGGGAAAGGTTAAGTTTTGTATTCTCTGTTAGGCCACCCAACTTTTGTTGCTTGATCTCTTCCACTCACTCTATGAATGGAGATTAACATGACTTTTCTTGTTTTGAAAGGTTTTATTTCTCAGATTTTCCCCCACAGTTACATAAGGCTGATTCATCAGAATTACAAAAGATATGAGGAGTGTAATGGTGTAATGGAAGTCAAAGGGTACCAGTATCCACTTCCTTTTCACACTGCTTAGCCTCCTATCCCCAGTGAAAATACCAGACCCATTAAGTATCAAATGCTCACATTGAAAATGAATTTAATATTTTATATGTGCTTAATATCAAAAAAGCTTTCTCAAATATAAGCACAGGATAATATTTTGCATCACTTATTTTAATATACATTTGTGGTTTTGGTAATATACTTTCTGAAGGTGTGTTCAATGTGGATTAAATTATTTATTCACTAGCTGTATGTGTGATTGTGACTGTAGAGTTTTGATATTCATTATTCCACAAAGCAAACCAAGTTTAAAATGTGGTGAATTTAATACAACTTTCATTTTAATATTAAAGAAGACACAGTCATTTTCAAGATGCTTCAGACTGGAGCTGTGCAGTTTGGTAACAACTTGTTCTCTTTCATTTTGTTACTGACGGAAAGGTCAGTGTGGGTTCACTGAAAAGTTTGCCAAGAGTTGCTAATCTTCTGAATAGGGCAGGTCGGAAAACTGAATACTCATTGAGAACATTTTTTTTCTCATTCTGAATTAAAGTAAAACGTCAACATTTCTCACAAGTTCAAATGAAAAAAAATTATTTGGGACGATCAAAACTTTTGTTTCAATAATGTCAAAACATAGTATATATAATATTATGTGTAGAGATGCATGTGTACACACAACTGCACATGTGCACACACATACACACACACACACATATATTTAGAGATTTGTACTTTCTGTCTATGAGTCCATCTGTCTGCTGATCCATTTTTTTCAAGGACTTCTCCTAAACCAAAAGAGCTAGGACCACCAAATGTGATAGGCAGCTTCCTCTTATCCTAACTTAAAGCAAGGTCAGTGTTTCGTTGTATCAGAAAAATGAGATGTGCCTGGAATTTGGAAAGGGAGGGGCTGAGCGGAGGGACACCATACTTACTGTCAGCACTGGGAGTAGCGAGTGCAGGGAACAACTGTACTGCAGAGTGACCACTGGGGGCAGCCACATCACCATGGGAGTGGCCAGCTCGGGACACAGCGGGCCATCTTGCCTGCCACCAGCTGAGGTAAGTGGCCTGCCTGCCCCCAGTCTCTGCCCCTGAGCCTCAGCACTGGATCAGGGGAGAGGAGAGTCCCTGGGAGCCATCAGGAGGCCTGCCCATCCCTTTCATATTCCTCTCTGACCCTGGGCCAGGTTCCCCCTTCAGCCCTGGGCTAGGTCGGGGGTGCACTGGTGGGAGGCCTATGCAGGCCCTACGCCTGCCCTCAGGCTGGACCTGGGTAATGCAGGGTAAGATTTCTGATATTATATAAAAAATCAAAATGAAACTTTTTTTTATTTTGATACAATGTGGAAACTAAACACTTTTAACTTCAGTTAGTTCTTGACACTATTGAAACAAAACGAGAGATTCATCAGTTTCTTCAAAATGAACATGCCTATGCAGAATGTTTAGATTCCAATAAACTTCATTCTCCAATTAAAAAAACATTGCAATTAGGAAATTTTCAGCCAGCTTTACTTCTGAATGAATCTAGTCTAGTTTCAAGCCAATTTGAACTGAGTTATGAGTAAATAAAGTAGGTAAAACTTTATTTATTGAGCTTGTATCAAAATCTCACAAAAATTGAGCTTTTGTGTCAAAACCAAAGACCATTAGAAACATCTCATGTGTATGCTCCAAACTGAAGGAAACTCATTGGATGTAACTAAATTTTTCAAATGTACAAAAGCCACAACCAATGAAAGGATTTACTTGCATGAAGCCCTTCCAATAAACAGCACTAAGTTCTAATTCCCTTAATTGTGGCCAGTATTTTGAGACTGACTTTCATTTATTGTTTTCAGCACTGGATTAATATTTGGAGAGTAAGCCACTTATCTCATAACAACGTGTTCAATACGAGACATATGCCCAATAGCTAATACTAGCTACATTTCTGTCGAGACCTGATCTGATACCATAAAAGTCAAAGGAATTTTGCCATTCCCTGTGATGAATCAGAAATGAGTCCTTGATTACTGTTATGTTTATACTACAGCACATTGTTTTCTAAGATCCTGTGTTTAATGTTTGTATTACCTTTCAGTTTTAACTGGACTAGAGATGAGAAACCATTCAATCTACTATCTGACCCCAGGATAATTACATTCAAAAATTCAGGAAACTTTGTGATCCAAAATCAGGGTATCATAGCTGATTTTCAAGGGAAATATCGTTGTTATGCTTCAAATGAACTGGGAACTGCCATGTCTGAAGAAATCGAACTCATAGTTCCAAGTAAGTTTCTCAAATGAAATTCTGTGTTTCTTTTTTGTTCATAGAATCATAGAACCATACAGCTGGAAGAGACCTCAGAAGGTCATCAAGTCCAGCCCCCTGCTCTAGGCAGGACCAATCCCAACTAAATCAATCCGGCCAGGGCTTTGTCAAGCCGAGACTTAAATACCTCTAGGGATGGAGACTCCACTACTTCCCTAGGTAACCCATTCCAGTGCTTCACTACCCTCCCAGTGAAACAGTTTTTCCTAATATCCAACCTGGATGTCTCCCACCACAACTTGAGACCATTGCTCCTTGTTCTGCCATCTGTCACTACTGAGAACAGCCTTTCTCCATCCTCTTTGGAACCTCACTTCAGGAAGATGAAGGCTGCTATCAAATCCCTCCTCACTCTTCGCTTGTGCAGACTAAACAGACCCAACTCCCTCAGCCTCTCCTCATAAGTCATATGCTCCAGCCCCCTAATCATTTTG